GGGGGGGGGGGATGGTAAAGTTTAACGTAGAAAAAGGAAAATATAATGAAAGAGAAGGGGAAGATCTCGGGCTTAAACAAATTCATCTCACGGCCGTGCTCTCGAGCTAATTCATTTTTGTTAAACGAGCGGAAAGCCAAAAGTTTTCTGAGTACATTCTCCTCTTGAAAAAGTTGAGCCGAGGTACTGTAGCCCCACCGAACGAATAGAACGTATAAAAGGGTGTTTTATCCACCCCAACCCCCCACACCTATTCCTCCCCCTCAACCACCCTCACCCTTCCCACCCACCCTGAGCCCTGGGGTGGATGAGAATACAAAGAGAAGATGTTTAACCCTGCGGTCGTGTGATTTATATATTACACCGGCATAATATGTGCAAGGCTGATAATAATAATGTGTATAACGTTAATATTGAGATATCGTTGGGTTATATATTAATATTCTTTTATTTATGCAGGTGCTGCTGGAGCCTCGCCGTCTGACCGCTTTTTCTTCGCTCACTTTGTTGGGGGATGATCGTGTCGATGTTTGGAGTATTATAGAGTGAGTAATATATCATCATTTCTATATTAATATTTGGTAAATATATGATATATTGGAATATGATATATCAATATATTATTTATTGCTACGAAATTCGAAAATGATGTTTCCACAAATTTGTGGGAAATGTATGCAATATTTCAATATCAATAATTATATCATGTGATATATCAATATATCAATATATTATATATTATATACTGTAGCATGATGTATCTGCACGAATATATCGCGTTGTTATGAATAATTATATGATATATCGATATATCATATACGATATAACGATATATTAATATATGATATATTTTCGTCGAAAGATCGAAAATATATTTCATTTGTATTTTGCATGGGGAAAAATTATTGCAGAATTATAATTTTTTTTTTCATTCATTTTTTTCTCAACCTCGGGCATTTCTACTTCTATAATTTTCACGTCGGAGGAAATAGTCTAGTCGAAAGTTGATTACGACGATCGTAGAGTCTTAGGGTGAGCGGAAATGGGGGGTAACGCTGGAATCTCGTCACAGCGAATTTTTACGTTGGTCGAATAAGATTGCACCAATAAATTTATCCCTCGACCCCCTCCTCGAATTTCCCCACCCCCTCGTTCCCCGGAACTCCGTCAACGAATTAATTTGCCATCTCTCAAACTGTTTTTTTCACCACCAGTTTTTTTTTTTTTTTTTATTTCTTCATTGCGTGGAAGTTTTGTTGTGAAAGTTGAAAACTTGTCGGGAATAATGTTAATAATTTTTAACAGAGGAAAATTAATTTCACTAAGTAAATGGGGAAGTTTGTGGATTTGATGAGAGCAACTTTTTTGATTGAAAAATAAGTCGACCGTCAAATTGAGATAATGGATTTTTATAATGAAAATTTGTTATAGGGGCTAGTTGGTAATTGCAATTATTGTGAGTATTGTCGGATTGGGTGGTGATTTGATCGTTATGAATTTGTAATGTTGGATGAATTAATTAGGGAAATTCTTCACTATTTTACCGGATATTGCAATTATGAGAGTGTTTAATAATGAATCCATCTGGTATAACAAATTTCTGAGTTCACTACCAAATCCCAAGGGGAATTTAATTTCGTGAGTAATATGCAGTCCTCAGTAGAAAGTCATTAATATATGCATATTAAAAATGAGTTCAGACATGAATAGTGCTGCTATTACCCAAATTAATGGATAATAATTCTCCCTAATTGTTCGTTAAATTTTTGGGACTCTATACCAGCCACGTCCTCGTCGTGAGTCCTGGGTAACGCCAAGAGCTGGTGGAAATTGATTTCTCCTTCATTAATCCGCTTAATTAGGGAAAAATCAATTCTCCTTAAGTGATCATTAGAATCTATTGTGATTAAATTTCGCGAGAGACAAGCAGCAGTTCATGTGAAAGTGGAAGTGCAAATACAAGTGAAAAGTGGAGGACAAAGTGCGTGATCGAGATGAGAATGAGAGAATATCAGGGGCTAGAGATCATGTAGAGAATTAGAATTGATTGTATTATTTGAATTTCGCGAAAGTCATGCGACAATTCAAGTCGAATCGGAAGTACATACGCGAGTGAAAATAAATGGACGAGTGTAAAAGTGCAAGTGATAGTGAAAAGGACTAAATAAAGAACAGAGTGCTGGATGGAGACGAGGATTGGAGCAGTCCAGGAGATGGAGACGAGGATCGGAGCAGTCCAGGAGATGGAGATCATGCTGAGAATTCTGCAACCGGTGAGTCAATAAATAACTCACACAATATATATTATATATCCGTCCGTAAAATCGTCGCGATCTATCCGATAAAGATCCACGGAAAGCGCTCCGTACGTTCAATAGTTTCTACTCGATAGTTTTCGATAGGTCGATAGGGATTAGAAAATTCGGGGAAATCCAGAAGAATTCCAGTATCAGTCCGAGCTAGATTTTCCTCTAATTTCAAAAATGCGACAGTCATTAGAAATCCTCCTAATCTTCCAAGTCCAATGTAATTTCCACTTCGCTTCATCCCCCATTATCCATTCATCCCCTTCCATTGGCCATTTCAAAATTAGACGACAAGCCTGTGGAATCACCGTTGTACCTCGGTACCTCAAGAGACACCCCACAGTTGCAATTGAATCGACCGATTGAGCATTGAGAATTCGAATGTCAAGAAAATTGAACGAACGAAATATATATCGCTCTGCCTTTTGCCCCGATGCGACGGGTGAAAAGCGATCTCTTCAGAGTACCGTACACATTCGAGTATACGCCAGTAGTGGCCGGGGTGCAAAACATTTTCAAGCCATCACAGGGTGAGGATTCGATGCGACACTCAAGAGAGATACCATGAAAAACTAGGGGTTGATGGTTGGGGTGTAGAGTGAGTAAGAGGTAGAAATGACTCTTGTCTCTTTTCCACTGTCGGTCAGGGGATGAGGGGTGAGGGGGGGTGAATGAGAATCGGAGAATGTTGTAGAAAGAGAGGTATATAGATGGCAAAGTGCGCCCAGGGAGTACTAATCGCATTCCCGAGCACAATTTACATTTAATCAAAGGGAAAGCCCATTGACCACGCTTCGTACTATTTACTTGCCATTGAAATCACGGAATGACGACGGAGAAGGCAAACCAGCAAGGACTCGTAGGGTGGTTTAAGGGGGTTGTACCGTATTGGAACGATGGTGCGTCGTTCGTGGTTTGAATACGTACAAGGGTTGAAGAGGGCGTTTAGGAGTTTAAATTTCATCGTTCTCACTCCCGTCATCGCCATCTCACCAATCTCACGATTGGTTTTCACGTCCCCTTCAGTCTATCTCATTTCGATTTTTTCATCAAGATACACGGTTCCAATAATCGCCTCAATTCACACCGTCTGTGATAATGTGTAACGCACACTGGTTACACCGATAACTCGGAATTGGTAGAGTAAAATTCAATGGTTGATTTGTCATATTTAAGATACTTCCGTAAGATTGATCATGAGGGTAAACTCGTTCGAATCGCATTGTTTGTTCCGGTGATATCGGGGGGGGATGAAAATTTTTGATTCGCCCTCGGTTTACCGCTCTTTTCAACTTGAAGACACTTTAGCTATTCCCATCGTTTTATTGAGTCTGACGAGCACTCGACGACGGTTTTTTAAAACAGATTGACAATCTGTTTTTTATTTTTCTCTCTTTTATTATTTTTTTTTTCTTTTATGTTTTTGCCTCTTTTTTTCAACATCAAGTATATAACGCCAGACGATCGTGAAGCCTTGCCGGGGCGCTCGACACAGTAAATCTGTCCGATAAAATAGCGTTCGAGCCATTAACTAATCCTCCAGGGATAAAACGGAGTTGTGGAGCTGTCTCTCCTTCTCTTTGCATCTATCTCTCTCAATTTATCTCGCTCTCTCTTTCTATATGTCTCTCTCTCTCTTTCTCTCTCTCCATTGCTCACCCTTTCTGTTGTGCACTGGGTGCCGGAGTATTACGTACCAGGGAGGATTTCATGGCCGGCACCACTGCAATTGATTGGCAGCGAAACTCTCGGTTGTTCTCCACCCGTTCCTCCAGCAGGACGTCGTCGAATGCGCCCCCGTTGATTAGAATGGCGCAACACGGAATCCCTCTCTAACCCAGCTAATGGCATCCACCCGCAGTTACGTGTTTACCATGATCTCTCATTCGGTTGTAACGAATAAGAAAACGCTTTAGATTTATTGGTATTGAATTTGTGATTTCAATTATCAGGGATAAAATACCGAGGAATTGGCCAGTGGTTGAATCGTTCTGTCACTCTGAATTAGAATCATATGAAATCAGTCCTGATATCTGAAATTATCGAAAATCGGTGGAGTCAGGGATTTTGAAATTATTTGAAATCAGAAATCATGGTGTCATAATATATTTGACAACGAATAACCCCTTGGAAAATATATCTTCACACTTTGATTTTTTATTTCGTTACTGCATATCAGAATTTTTTATTTTTATCGCGAAATCTCTCCAAAGATCGAAAAATCAATTATCAACAAATCGCGAATACTTCAGCCGTTACCGCAATACTTTTCCCTTCTAACCGATCGATCAATCGATCCATCCATTCATTGATCTTGAGTCTCAAAATCATAACCACAAGAAATAAAAATTTCAAAATAGCCATCACCCGTAATGCGGATGTAACAATTGTTATCCTGAAATTGAATCAATAGATGTACCGTGCGCCATACGCAACAAATTATTCATCGATTTAATATTGTATGAACAGGTTGAGGTTTGTCGTCCATATGTCTCAACGATATAGATATCCATTTGTTCCCCACTATTCCTGCTATTTGCCAAGCGATAAGAAATCAATAAGTACAAATAAATTTGGGGGTGGGAGAGAAAGTAAGGGATTAAGCCCGGCGGCGGTGGCGTAACTCTCGGCAAAGTGCGAGATTTATCGGATAAAGTACATATGTATGTGTACACATGGAGATGGAGCATGAGGAAGAGAAGTGGAGAGTGACTGGAGATCGATTAAGCGTTTTGGGGGGGCAGGAGGGGTGTCGAGGGGGGCGGGGGTGGCTCTCAATCGCTCTCTCTGCCGACAGAGGAATAATTAAACGGACCTCGAGGGGTTAGGAATTATATATCCGGCGGGTTCGTGCAAGAGCGCTAATTATTAATCCCATGTACATGCATAATCCGTAGTTGGTTTCAAGAGTGATGCACTCGGTCTTTTTTTTTTTTTTTTATCGTGCCGATGGGCTGTACTTGGTGCAAGACACTGCCGCACGTGGCCCACTCGGAATAGCCGATTTTCTATCCCCGGGCAGTAAATCTTCCTCCGATCGCACGTATGATAATTTAAATAATTCATTTTTAAAGCTGTGGCTCATCTCTCTGCACTCATCAGAGCTATAAAATCTGGGTAATGGGTTGGAGCATAGCAGCTGGCCTCGTAAACTTTATTGATGAAGGATAAAACGTTTTAGACTCTGTTAAAGTGGATACGAGTTTTTAGAAAAATTGGGGATAATTGAGGCGACAACAATCTTGTTTAGTCGGGAAATTATCGATTCGTTAGACCAATTTTTGGGGAGGGAAGGGATTTTTCTTGAAAACTCAATTTATCTCTCAAGCGTAGACGATTTTCAAACGAAATTAAATGAAAAAACGAAAATTATATGAACTGGAAGGATTGCACCCCTGACCAAGGGCTGACATACGATTTTTGGGGGGTGAAAATGACTTTTTTCAAAATACCATTTTTATGAATTGCATTATAACGATCGAATCAATGAGAAAAAGAAAAATGTGATTTTTCTTAGAAATCAAGTCCCACCATGAACCAATCACTGCTTTTCACTCGTATTCGCGTCTAGAAAATATGAAAACCCACAAAAAAAAATTCCAGATCATTAATTCCTCTGAATAAATATCTCGTCATGCAGTAGTGTAGCTCGTTAATGATAACGATTTGCTTGAGCGATTCGCTTGAATTTCGGGAAGTGGTAAGAAACAGTCGTTTTTCATTCAGGAGTTTAATGAAAATTACAACACGCGAAACTACATCCACCACTTTGTAAACATACCCCAGTGAGAATACAGAGTCGAGTGTATTATATACTCCTTTGGATTACTGGCCCGTAGTTACAGCAAACTCCCGGAGATCACACGCGGTGAGCCTCAAGAGCCTAATGTAGATTTAAGGGATCTGTCTAGTGGTTATATGGGGCCCCATCTGTAGAATAGCTTCTCGTGTATACCCCGAAGACATTAATTAAACCATTCACTTTTCACCAGTCTCGTTGAATTTTTATTCTCAACTATTTAATTCACGATTGAATAATTTTCTCATCAAATCTCTGATTATGCGAGTGCATCGGTTAATCCCGTCGGATATTTTTTATCGGCACTTCCGTGGGGCTTAAATTATTTATCACATGTTAATTGCAAGAAAATATTTTCATGAAAAAGCGGATGAAGGGGGGGTTGGGCGGAGGGGGTGAAAAAAATCATAAGCGAAGGAAAGTAGCTTCGAACGCGAGTTTGTACTTTGGGGGATGATGCGATGGCTGTGATGGCGCTCGTAAAGCTCGATGCACGCTGCATGCAAATCATACTTGGAACATTTACATTTTTACTCCCAAGCTTCCTTTTTCCGTTTGTTTTTTTCGTCGCCTCTTTTTTTTTTTTGTTTTTTATCTTTTCGCGAATGCAAATATGCGAACGTTCGACGTTGCTCTAGGTTATGTGCGCTATACGCACAACCGATTTATTTTTTGGAGCTCGTGTTTTTTGTTTTAAAGCGAGGGGTAAATCCATAAAATTCCATGAACCGAAAGTATATGGAAAGTTGGGTCACGATTGATGAGTGCAGAGCATCCTGTCAGATTAAAATATACCAGTGGTGGGGTAGTCTCGGCTGATGTATCCGTGCAGATTTTCCATCGGGGATCGAATTTTTATTTTTTTTTTCGGGGGGAGAATTGATCTTCTCGTTGGCTCGTGATGATGGAAAAATTGGGGAACAATGTCGGTTGATGAGTTTTTGAGTTTTCGGAGAATAAACGGAATTCGAGATTTAAAAAAATCAATATCGATAAATTTTTTACGAAATAATTCCAAATCGATCATGCAAAATCGGGAATCGTTGAAAATATTTTCTTTACGCGCCTATGGTCATGGATAGGATATCGTGTAGAAAAATGGACGGTCTTCAATCATCAATAACTCCAGATGGTAGGAGTAAAATTCAACGATTTTTTTTTTTCATTT